CCTTCTACTCTCTGCTATCCGCATTGTGCCTTTGCGGATCAGATCTAATCTTCTCTCTGTAGGTCATTCACCAATTTGAAAAAGCTATGCTTCCCAGGGGGTGAAGAGGAAGAAACAGAGCTTTATGTGGAGAAAAGGGGAAACAAAACCCAAGTCTCCCTGCACATACTTAGTAGTCTGTTTTTTTGTTTGTTTGTTTTTGTTTTTAAATAAGATCAGGGGGAAGGGGAGAATAGCACAAGAAGTTATCCCAGCAAAGGTCTGATATTGGGAAGTGCTGAGTGTCCTAAATAAACATTGAATTCAACTGGCATTGAGAGGACTCATCTCTGACCAGATGGACCTTAGATGGCATTCTATCATTTTATTTCTGCAATATGAATGTTAAGCTAATCTTGCTGCAATGAGATGCAAATGAGATGTATTTTCCTTTTATTAAGTGAACAGTAGGAATTCTATATATCATATGAATTTTGCATATGTTCTATATAACAGTGTGGTGCTTCATAGCATTTTACATAACAAAATTAGATACTTACTGGGGAATCATAGACCCCTGTCCTGAAATCCTCTTTTAGGTAAAATTTGAATAGAGTTGAGTAGCAGTCTTGCTCGTATTTATGGAATTTCAGGCAATGATTCTCTTAATCATTAAAATGATTTCTGCTGTAGGTATCTGAGTCTATTGTTTGATCGTATTTATCTTCTCTTCTTACAAATGGTGATAATAGTTTATCAACTTGCTATTGAACTTTATACCGTTATTTTCTCATAACAGCTGCTATGAGTAAGGATACTGGCAAGTGTTTTAGATTTGCATTCATATGTAACTACAGTGGATGAGGTGAGGAAACAATTCCAAAATGAAGAATTATAAATTGTAAGAAGGGAGCCTATTGTCAATAATCAAAATAATTATTCTTTGCATAATAAACACTGTAGCACAGCTGGCTGCAAAAAGATAATACCAATAGAAGCAAAAACGTAAAACCCAGCCATTTTCTTACATCAAATTTATTGTGAAAGGTAGACTATGGGAGGATTTCTAGGGTGCTTTATTGAAATCTGACACTGAGATTCCAAGAAGCAGAAAAATCCACCCACAAGGACACATGAATGTACCAGCCTATGAGGTCAGAGCTAGGAAGAGTGTTCATAAAGGTGCCATTTTGAAGAGAGTTATGCATAAAGCAGGACTGTAGGGAAGGGGAGTGTCACATTTCAAGACAGTTGCACCTGTATTTCCCCTCCATGATTCACCAAGCTTGCACTCTAAGCTCCAGCACCCCTCTTGGGCAGAGGCCAATGTCTCTTTTCCCCTGACCTGAGTTTTTCCAGCCTGCACAGTTCCCTATCTACACTGTGGTATTCCCAGCAAGCCAAACTGGCTAACCAGGCATGTTGCTTACTCTTCGAAGGATATGAACAATGTCAGTGCCAGTAGTTGTAAGTTATCACAGAGCTCTATATAAGCAAGCACACATATTTTTGGACAGAATGTCCAATCCATTTTCTGGATCGGAAACAAGGCCATGAGTCAGTTTAAACTCACACTATTCATCCAAAAGCCCTTTTTTCGTTTGTGGGTCTTTGGATAATCCAGTGTGAATTAACATACATGAGTCTTTCCAGGTGGGGGTAACTCTCTGGAGGTGTTACAACCTGAGCAAATAGGCTTACTCACCACCCATGGTTCCTAATTCCTGGAGCGCTGTGGTCACCCTCCCACATGGAATTACATACAATCCCTGGCCCACAACGAGACATAAGCTTTATAGAGTAAGATCTACAAAGATATTATAGGAAATTGCTTTATCGGTCACAGGGAGCAGCATCAGCTACAGGAACCATGTGGGCAGAGAGACCTTTAAGAGCAACTAGTGGACTAGCAGAGGGCAGCAAGAGAGAGTAGCAGGCTAGAAAATCTGGTAGCAGGAGCTGAACAGTCAGAGGAGAAGAGGTGGTGCCATGAAGGAGGGTTGTAGCATAGCAGGGGACTGCATGCCTCTGAGATTTTCCCAGTGCATGACAATAATGGACCATCAGCACCAAAATATTGTTGGGGCAGGAGACTGGATAAAATATGAGGGCACACCATTGCTCATGTAGGTTGATCCCACCTTGTCCACATCTTCCTCTTTGAAATGGAAGGAAGAATGGTCTTGAAGGTAAGATGCGAGGCTAGAGGTGGGAGATCTAGGTTCTGTTGTACTTTTCCTGTGCGATCTTGAGCAAGTGTCTTACTTTCTATGGGGAAGGTTTAAACAAACAAAAGCCCTAAAGGTATTAAGGACCATAAGTCCCATTTTCAAAATGAAATAAGCACCTACAGGTGACATTTTCAAGAGCTCCTAAGCAAGTTAGATGCCTAATTCCCACTGACTTTCAGTGATACTAGGTTCCTAAGTGCCAGAGTCACTTTTGAAAATGAGACTCCAGTTTTTAAGACACATAAGCACTTTTGAAAAATTTTCCATCTGTGTTTCAGTTCCTCATCTCATAATACTTCCCCACCTCATGGGATGTTGCAAGGATAAATTTAATAGTGAATGTGAGTTAGGCTTTTCAAAGGTGCCTATTAAATAGATAAATTACAGTGTAACTCAAATGAGATGACATCAAATCAAAAGAAGCCAGAATGCAGCTGTGGGAGTAGACAGTGACCTGGTTTGAGAGAACATTAGTAACACAGTCAAAGTGGAAAGGAAAGCTGGGATAGATTGATAGTTGGATTAGTATCTTCAGCAACACTGCTCAACATTTGGCACTTGAAGCTGCTTTACTCCACCTTGTAAATTGTGTGATATTGACAATGCATCAAAGAATCCATTTAAAGTCGGACAAGGAATCCCACGAGTCATGATGAACAATGTAATGCGAGTGGTGTTTGGAAAACATGCATCCTCATTTACATTTCATGTGCCAATGGTTATTATTTGTTTGATTTACGTAGAAAAGCCCATGGAAACATTTCCATCACATGAAAGTTGACAAATAATTTTGCTTAAACTATAGCACCCCGTTGTAGCATCTGTTTCCTCTCCAATGATGTCAGAATTCTACGTTATTTATTAACTTGTTTACCAGTACAGCACTTAGTTTTGAGAGCACCAAGTAAATGCAGGTCCATCAAAGAAAAGCTATTCCAACACCACTTCTAGAGATATAGAAACAGGTTTACCCCTGTCTCTCCGTTGGGGGCTGGGTTTCAGCTTACTAGCTGCAGAGGGATTGAACTGAATCATGTATTTTAGTAGTAAACTGTCAGGAAGCCAGAATAGGTGACCAAAGCATTTAAGAGTTCACTAAGTTACAATGAGGAAGGAATTTGACTAGGGAGGTTGCATTGCCCCATTACAAAACAACTCAATAACTAAATCTCGTGTAAATCCCCATTGCTTCTGAGAAGTTTTACACTAACCACCTATCACCATTGAAATATCTGGTTCAACTGCTGGATTTCTTGTTTCGATTTGCAGAGTGACCCAGCCATATAGTCCATGCATCCATATGGGGGGGGGGGAATGTTAAAACAATATATACAACCCATTAGCCAATAGCAAAATAAAGAGATTCTTACAAAATCAAACATGGTTTCTTTAATTCCCTCCAAAGCCTGAGAAACAGATAGCCTTAACACCTTGGTTGAAGGTCAAGCTTTGGGTTCTGGCAGACAACTAAGGAACGTGAATGTAAGAACAAAGGGCCTTCTACCAAGAACTGCTCTCCCTCTATCTCCCAACTATTCCAGTATAAGGGTTGTTAGCAAAAGAACGCCTCAGCTACCCTAAAGTAGCAGCACTGAGGGAGACAGGTAGTGTCTTTGATAGCCAAGTTTGGTTTTCAAAACACATCAGTGATGTGAGGAAGAAGTTACACAGTTGCACTTGGTCTTCCAGGAAACCAGGAAATTTCACTTTGCCACATACAGCAAGTCAGCAGATTATGACGATATAGGTAGATTCATTTTTTTTTTTTTACTTAGAGAAATTATTACATGACAGCTTATTCACCACTCTTCCAGTGATATATTCAGGAACTCTCATAGGTGGCCCTAAACAGTCTTTTTAAAAGCAACTAAGACCTTTAGGAAAACTGATGGCAAATTAGGTCCTTAAGTACTTTATATATGAGCAACTTTAAGGTTAATCCTTAGTGCTGAGAAAACCTCATGAAATTCAGTTCAGTAAGTATTTGAAAGTTCAGATGTTTGTTTTGATTCTTTCAGGATTTCCAAATCACAAAAATTGTTTTTCTTATGTTACTTTGGTATTTCTACTTCTTGTTATGGATGTAAATATTGTTTAAAAAGTTAACCATTTAAACAATGAAAATAATATCGTTTAATAGGTTAACCCAGGGTTTCTCAAATTTCATTGCACCTTGACCCCCTTCTGACAACAAAAATTACTACACAACCCCAGGACGGGGGACCAAAGCCTGAGCCCGCCCAAGCCCTGCTGCCCGAGGTGTAAGGCCAAAGCCCAAGCCCCTCCACTCCAGAAGGGGGGGGGACCAAAGCTGAAGCGAAAGGGCTTCAGCCCCAGGCAGCAGGCCTGCAGCAGGCCAGCCCTCTGGTTTCAATCCCGGGGCAGTGGGGCTTGGGCTTCAGCCCTGGGCCCAACAAGTCAAGCCAGCCCTAGCAACCTGATTAAAATGGGTCACAACCTACTTTGGGGTCGCAACCCACAGTTTGAGAACCACTGAGTTAACCAATTAAAGGGAGAGGGGCTGGGGCTGCTCTGGCTGGCATGGAGCTGGGGTCACCCCAGCCAGCCCGGAGCCAGGGCCAGAGTCAGCAGGCCGGCAGATGCGGGTTAACTGTTAGGGTGGTTTAACCAGTAAGACTTACTGCTTAACCGGTTAATCATTTTATATTCCTACTTTTTGTCCTACCCGAAACTAGGAAACAATACTGGCCCTGGACTAGTACATTGCATTTTAATTAGGAATGCCCTTGAAGACCCAGAAACTTCATATCATAGAAACAAACTACTCACTTTTTGAGGAAAGTCAACATGTGCAAATACACCTCTGTCCCAAACTCTGCAGAGGCTTCCTATTCACATCTAGTTGTATTCCCAGATGATCATCTGTAGAGACGTAAATGACCTAGAGCCTAGTTTCCTCCAATCCTTTATCTCCCATGGTTACAATTACAGCCAGCTGGGACACTCTATTCTCAGATTTGAATTCCCTAGGGGGGGAAGGACGCTAGCCCAGGCTCCATCTCTCACTATCACCCGCAACCTGCCAAATCTCAAGGTTAGCCACTTTAAGGAGGTTGTGCAAGGCATTTGTTTAATCAGATTTTTAAAATTTAACCAGGGTTTAGGGGTAGGAGTAGAGAGATAAGAAAGTGAGCCCTCTAATTTTTTGGCCACTTTTGTACCTGTTCAGCAATACACTGTGCATGCATATATAAAAACAACTGAGAGATCCTACACTAACAAGTCTGTCATCCCGAAGATCTCAAAAGCACCACACAAATATGCAAATTTTTCAGATGTTCACGGAACTGAAGCCACTTTGAGTGGAACAAAACAGTGGTTTAACACTACATCATAGTTTAAGGAAATAATATTAGACCAGATCTTCATCTGGTGTAAATTGGTATCTCTAAATTGGCTTCAGCTTAGAATCACTCCCATCTTATTTAACAGACACTACAGAGGGATTTTGGACAGGTTGTCACTACCCAAGTTGGAATTTGTCCAGGAACTAAAGCCCCTACTCTTATGAGGAGTGCTATAGGCTTTTTTAATTACATTGAGTGGACAGGACTTTTCCTTTGTTTCATACAAGAGAAATATAAAGTCATTTTAAACTATTGATTTAGAAAACATTTTCCAAAGCATTTTTAGCCCCAGAAAGCATCTGAAGTGCAAGATGTCAGTTTACCTCAGAAAGGATGCAATTATCCGTGTGAACAGAAGTTTTAAACTAACTCCATGCTCATGATGTTCCTTCAGCACTTATTTCCTGAATAGCTACATGCAAAAAAAAATAAACCTTTCATGTTACGGCCAATAACAAACGCTAATCTTAATCCCAGCCACTGATCCTTGCTCAAAACTCCTGATGATTACAAGGGGCCTTTCCTGTTCAAGACAGGATTGGGAAACATCAACAAGTTGTGTTGCAAAATACCTCATTCGGTACCCTCCTCCTGAACCATTAGTAAGGCTACAATTTTAATCACAGAAATTGCAGAAGGAATCTGTGACTTCCAGCCACTATGGGCTGAAGTCACGGGGATCTCTGGGAGCTGCAGGGTCCCCCCGCAGCTCCCAGTCACGTGGGGCCCCTGGGAACTCCCAGCCACTGTGGGAAGCAGGGGGACCCTGCGGCTCCCAGCCACTGGGACCCCCAGGAACTCCGAGCTGTCGAAGGCGGTGGTGGTCCCCAGAGCTCCAAGCAGGGCTCTGCAGCTGCCAAGCCACTGCAGGCAGTGTGAGGACCACACAGCTGAGCTCCCTGTTTTACAATGCATATTTTTAGTAAAAGTCACAGACAGGTCATGAATTTTTCTGTATTGCCCATGACCTGTCCCTGACTTTTACTAAGAATGCTCGTGACTAAATCTTAACCATAAGCCATCCTACTCTTATATTCTCTGCTGACCACACAAAACTACTCAGTTTTATAATGGAGTCTCCCTGAGACAAGTCTACTCTTAAGTTTGATTTGCTTATTTCTGACTAACTTTTCACCCCTCTGAAAGACTATGGGGGGCAGAAGTTTTGGGTGTTTCCTTACACCTGGGATTGTGGAAAAAAACCACCCACAAACCATACCCCACACATATGCCAAATAGGATCCATATATCAGTCAGCTGGAAAAGTGCAAGGCTGGTAGAGATTGTATTTAAAGTGACAAGTAGGAATGGGCTTACTAATCAGGGTTTGCTCTAATAGGAGAAAAGTCAGCGGAATAGCAAATATTAATTTTGATAAAGCTCTGCAAAAGCTTATCACAATTATCAAATGAAGTGTCTATACAGCTTCTTCCTCACAACAGAGCCACGGTTATCATCAATTTGCTCTTGCTATAAGAAGTGATTTTCATGTACTTATATCTGCTCTCAGAAGGAAGGAAAATGGTTCATAAAGTTTCTATTCACATACAAAAGCAGCAACAGCTGCTGAGAGTCTTAAGAAGCGGACTGCCTTCACTCAATCAGCAGCACAGACTACGCTAGTTGGTCACTTCTGCCCTCATCAGCACTCTAGGTATGGAAGCATTAAGAAGTTATTTTTATGGAAATTTCAAAGGATGATCTGGCCACACAACTGCTTCCTACAGGTAGATTACTTAGAAGTGTTCCACCCTTTCTAATTAGCAATGGATACATGATTCGTGTACCCGGATTCTTCCCTGAGTAGACCTGTAAACAGTAGCATAGCAGAACCTGTTATACTGTAGTACAATGCCTGAACAAAGTTATCTGGCATTTACCAAGTTAAACATTTGTTTGGATAGCTAGCAGCTTCTTAAGCCTACTATCATTTCCATAGGATATAGCTGTAGCACCATCTAGAGGATTTGTGAGAGAAACTCAAATTTACCTGGAGCTAATTTCTTGAGGGTAAAAAATTAAATCCAAATAGCCGGTGGTACCAACTTTAGAAGTTATGATAAATTATCTTTGTGACACCCAAAATTTCGCAAGGCCTCTCATTCCATTGTCTATAGAATTGTTTGACCTGTATTAAGTTATGGATCATGCTCACATGATTTTTTTTATATAAAAAAATCTCACTCTAGCTTACAACTTTTGGAATCACCAAGATACGATTCCAGCAGATGAATGGTGGAAGAATATTTATTGTCAGCAAGCAAGAATGGGGAAACAGTCTGAATCTGTGCCCTGACAAGCAGTGTTGTTCATACCCTGCAGGATAACTGGCTGTGTCAGGCTTCCTGAATTCCACCCTGTAAGAGTAGATCTCTGTATTGGAAATATGACCAAAATTTCAATGGGAAAGTACTAACTTTAGCTGACTAATAAAGAACTATGTTTTGTGATTTTTATTTCACCAACAGAAGTTGCTGGTTATCAGTGGTTGCAAGCCAACAAGAAATGACCTGTTCCAGCAGGTTGCTTTATCGTGTGTGTTCCATGTCTTTTCCCTCCATCCCTCCCTCCCTGTGGCCCCTAAGGGTTTGACAGTTCAGACCACAGGAAGGTTTCCTTTGCTCCAGGAGTGCAGGTTCTACAATTTAACTCCATAAACCACGTTATTAATTATGCCACAACGTTCACAATCATTTGCATGCCCAGTAATTAAAGTGTATTTTCCCCTGTTAGTTCTTATTTGCTCTTCCCTTTGATGAGCTGTGTGTTCATGTTCCAGACTTTTGATCTTTACTGGATGTGCACCCTATCACAAAACTAAGTGGGATCTGCGATACTGCAACAAGGTACTATGCTGAGCTGCATGGAAATCCCAGCTCGGCATCCCTTTGAACAGGGACTTGGGGGGTGGGGGGAATAATTAGACTGTGCTGCAGCCTGCAAACCCATCAGACAGTCCATGAGCAAGGCCAGAAACACTACAGGGTGGAAGTTCACCCCTGCAATGCTGCAGAGCTAGCTGATGGAATCAATAGGAGGCAAACTTGTTCCTCCTTTATTCACATGTGCCAGCCCTGAGGCTCCCCTAGCTGCTTCCCATTCGTGTAAGAATGTTAATCCTCCTCTCATCCTTTACCTGCCCTGAGCCATCCCATGCTCTCCTGGAGGAAGAAGAGGGGGAGCAAAGCTGACATCACCACCTCTGACTCCTATACAGGGTCTCTTGAGCCAGGGGCGTTTCCATGGGGCCCCTATGTAGCTACAGTAGTCAGTGGCATCACACACACACGGGGCCATAGGTTAACAATGAATTGGTCCCTATAAAAGAAGTTGTTTAGAACACAGAAGAGGATGTAATGAAGTAAGGACAACCCAAACACTGTCCAGGTGGGTGCTTTTCTGTTATGTTTTCTTTAATTATGTATTTCCGGCTATGAGAGCAGAATGTAATATTTACATGAAAATAAGAACACCAGTGAATAAAAAAAGTTGAGGAACATGGATTGCCTGCAAGCCTGTTTGTATAAAAGTTACTGGCACATATAATCAGGTAAGGTGAATCACACTTATGTTTTAGAATCTGTTTTTAGTCAGATCACACTGCATCCTCACCCTGCTAGCATAAACCTAGATATTGAAATGGGGGGGGGGGGAAATCTAATCATTCTTAAAGTGAATTAAAGCACATGAGCTCAGACCTCTCCACGGGAGTTTTATATCCATAGCGAATCTGTGAAATACATTGTTGAATCTCGTGTAGTTACCTAACAGCAACAATTCATTCAGATCACTCTTCTAGAACTTTAAGGCAGGGGGGTTTTTGGGGGGTTTTTTTCTGAGGCTCCTTTCAGGCAGAGTTTCATGCACAGGCACTTTTAACGCCCAAGTTATGACTCAGGAGACAGATAATGGGATTCTCGGCTGTGGGTCTCTGGATCAAGTTCAGCTGGTAGCAATAAAGACCAAAATCAGAGGCCTAGAGCTGGGCAAATAATTTGTAATGAATACCTTGATGGATTTTAACTCTTGTAATTTGCCTGTCAACAGGCTATGAAATCCTCACCTGTATTCCTTAGTCTAACTTATCCAGATTTTGTTGGCTAGGGAAGTTAAAATATATATATATATATATATATATATATATATATATTATTCCCACTGTTAAGAAACACACAGGATATTGGTTGTTCTCCGATTGGAGATTTGTGTATAACCAAAACACCATAATTTCATCTTTGCATTTAAAATTTACATTTAGAGCATCTGAGAGACAAAATCTTTATGTCTGCTAGACTATTCACTGGGAATGAGTAAAAGAAAGGCATGTACACAAAGCAATTTGGTTTTCAAATCCAAATTAATATCTACAGTCAGTTTTATGAGGGATTCACCCAGTTCTTGTGCTAACAGGCCCCAATCCTGCAAGCAGATCTGCCAGCATGGACCTCTGTGCCCATGTGGGGGAGTTTTACAGATTCCACCGAATTCCTCTAGTAAGTATTTAGTTAAGAAACCAAGA